TAGCTGTAAACAATTGCAAACAATGTAATTATAGTATAAAAGAAATACATTTTGGAATGATGATTGCATTTGAAATATGGAAGAGAAATGTATATAAAATAATTGAAAAATTTCTCTATGTGTCACTTTATTATGAAAGAAAGCGCTTCACATAGTATAAAGAACGCATTAAAGCTGACATTAAAGAGATGATTTTCCAGGCATCAAGTATATGATTCATAGAGCCACACATTCTTGTTATTACTTTTCATTTATGACAACTGTAATAGCAACCTGCTTAGAGATTTAGAAGTACATATGAAATAGTATGTATCTAAAGAAATCACCTCCGTTCAGTTAATTCTATCAGTTCAAAATGTTAGATTATTTCATAGGCATAACAACACATGGAGAGATGAGTAGTCAAAATCAAGTATTCAATGAAAATCAGACTGAAAAAGTCAGAATGCTTAGTTATGCGATTAATTGGTGATTCAATAATTATGAACATCATTTTAGTCTAATTTAGTTGAAGATTTAGAATGATAATTATTGCTGAGAATTAATTCCTTTTTATAATCGCTTACTTTTTGGTATCGATTTCTTGATTTCATCTAAAATTTCTTCGAATAATTTATGTTGGACTACGATTTAACGCGGAAATTTTGTATTGAACATTAATTGATAATAATTTGAAAGTAAAGTAATCGAAGACAAACTGAAGCAAAGTTGTTCTATTGATAATTGAAAAATGACTGATTAATCATTAAACTTCATGGAGGAAATAGATAACCCGAACCGAATAATCTAAAGATATATGCATAATTCGGATATAACATTCGTAAGAAATTCAATTTTTGCTACCAGTACTGCATATCTTCAGTTTATTTACAATAATTATTTGTCCCTTGGGTTCCCAGTGGAACATAGGGATTCACCAGCACGCCTCCATTACACTCACTTCTCTACAGTCTTTCCAACCTCGATCCACAAATAACCACTAACTCTCATTCCTTCCTCACACAACCTCCTTCATGTCACATTCACCTCAGACGCCCAACTCGTCCTTTACCCTTACAATCCCACTCGACGGCGTCACCTACAGCCTCATGTCCCCAATCCGCCTTCCCACTGTATGTCCAATCCATCTCCACCTCCTTCCACCACATATTCGAGGGGCGATAGGTTCCTGGTTGGTGTGTTGCCAATCAGCCAGAATTCCTCAATGCTTATTCCCATCATTCTGGTCATCTGATCGAGACAGTATCTTCAGTATCGAGACAGTGTAGGGTGCAGCTGTTGATGCATGTCTGTAGTTTGTTGGAAATGCTTTTCGTGATGCGCCAAGTTTCGGAACCATATACATAGAAGCACTGACTTGACTGAATTGGTGTTGAGAATCCGGATCTCGTTCACGCCTCATGCTGAGTGCAGTAGATCTCCACACTGATTTCAGATTAGTGCAAGCTTGTCTTTCTGTCTTTTCGATCTTGGGTGCTTCGACATCCTCGTCTGTGCTTGTGTTGCCTGTAGTTGAAATGATGCTGCCTTGTCTGGGTAGGTGTGGGTGAAGGAGACAACTTGTTTTAGGTTTCTCCGGTTAATGGTGATTGGTGCCTGTCGTTGTTGATGCTGTTGTTGGTTGAGTATCTTCATCACCTCTGTCTTCTCTACGTTCACCTGAAGGAGGTCTTATCCTTGCTACCTCGCCTCTTCTGTCAACTTGTTAGTTTTCGTCTGTAGATCTTCAAGTTTGTGCAAGTTTATGCGTAAATCATCATCGTCATCGGTGGAATACAAATCTTCTTGTGTGGTCTTTTCATTGGTCCACTCAGCATATGCCCATCTTCTTGCTCATCGTGTTTTGCTGCATGATCCAGTCCAGTCCACCACAATCAGGAGGATCATTGGTGATAATAGGCAGGCTTGTCTCACTCCTGTCTTTACTTCAAAGGCATCACTGAGCTTCGCATTGTGAATTACTTGGCATGTGGCGTCTTCATTTAGTTGTTGAATGAGGTTACTTCATCCAAAACACCTATAATATATATGATTCACTGAAAAGATTATTTCATATGTATCACAGAGTACAATAAATCGCTTTTACACTCCATTTACATTCATATTTAGTTAACTGAGATATCTTATGGCATTTATTTTTCATTATTTCCTCCATTTGTCTAATATCTGCAGAAAAGTAATCAAAACATTTTAAATTACAGCTAGTCTTAAACTGAAAATATTATTCGACTTTATCTGAAAATCAAAGCGTTAACATACTCATAAATTTGGACGAGAAAGTGAAGGTTCGAAAAATAAAATCAGTCCCTTTATTTTTCAACTTTTTATAAGAATACTATACATATTTAAGGTATCATTATCTACTGGACTGACTCAATGCATCTATAGTGAAACCTTCTTATGAGAATATAAATAAGTATTACATAACACAACACAGGAAAACATCAGAAATGACAATAATCAACATATGAAGATTTGTTGAGGAAGAGGACATAATATCGAGTAGAAATATGAAAGCCAAGAACGTTGTATACTACGATGATAAAGCAAGATAACGTTTGTCTATGTATCCTCATTTTAGCTCAAATATTTTTATTATTACCGATTATAGTTCTGTAATAATCATCCTGTCCTTCTTTATTGGACCTCCTTTCATGTCCAGAATGGTAGAAATGTAACAAGGGGAAATCATAAATCATATAGTAATAGTAGTGTTTTCGAATCGAGTTAGAATGTGTCTGGTGACGGTTTCCTTAATATCCTTGAACATTGATACAAGTATTATTGATAGTCTTAGAGGTACCCTTATACTTACCTTATACTTACAGGAAACTAAACAAATACGCTTGAATCAACAATGGTATATCATAAAAACTTTTGAGTTGGTATTCCTCATGAAATGACAACATTTGGAGGAACATTGGAAACCTAGAAATGCTGGACAGCTGTTTAATCCTAATAATGGACTCCTGAGCAGTGTGCACCTATGACTCCACACCACAAGGGATCGAACTCAGGGCACCTTCAGGTTCCGTGGCAAGCACGTTACTGTTGAGCCACTGTGTTGGAATCCAGTCGCCCACATTTTGTACTTCTGTCACTTCACGACATAGCGCGACCATCACGTAGCGTGACCGTTGATTATTTGTCTTCACGTCCATCAGGAGAACTGAGAGAAGTTGGAAACATGGAGCATTAGATTCCGATCCAGTGGTTCAGTGGTAACATGTTGACCACGGAACCTGAAGGTCACGGGTTCCATCCCTGATAGGTTTGTGGGTGCGCACCGTTGGGTAGTTCCATACTAGGACAAAACAGCTGCCGAGTGCTCCTAAGTTTTCAATGTTCCTCTAACTGATGTCACTTCATGATGACTGACAATCTGAAGAACCTCTAAACCCCCATAAACCTCCAAGTTCAATATCATAAAATTGTATCTCACTTAGTGGAATTCATCTGACGTGCCAGTACAGCAGAGTTTATTTAGCTTTACTGCTTACATCCAATATACTTTTATTACATAAAAATATGCTTGTAAGATCCAGTGTTTCACTGATGAATAACATTTTAATAAATTATTGCAAGGTATGTAGTTTAGGTGGTATGGGAAAGAAATTGCCATCAACAAATGAGGATAACTTAGAAAACTGAAATTATTTTGTCGTGAAAGTTTCATCTTCAGACTTCGCGGTATCGTGATGAAGTGAAGCCTATTTAAGTGTTACATGAATGTCTAGATAATGCTTTTACTGACCTTGAATATGATTTAGCTGTGAGTTAGTGAAGGGATTTTCATCATACCTCAATCTTTTCGACCTTACATTTCATTCGGTCATCCTGGGAGAGAATCTTTGTCAGACTTCATTATTGACTTGTTTGGTTGATTTACACATGGTTGATAGATGCCTGCTGTATTTTTAAACAGACTATCAATGAAGTCAGTGTCCATTTGTATCTTCACTAGTTTTTTATTGGAATGCCAGACTTCTAGAATTTATAATTGTCAGCGTTTGCATAAAGTTAAATCAAGAAGTATGATTCACATACCGTTTTACTGCCAGTCACTTGAATGTGAATTCTTTAAGCAGTTTATGAAGGTTTGAGGAAACTGACTGACTTCAAGGTAGTGTTCATGACGAAATGACATCTGTTGGAAAGCCACTGAAAACCTGAAAACGTTGAACAGCTCTTTTGTCCTGATGTGTAACTCCGTAGCAGTACTCACTCAAAACTCTACTAAAGTTGAACTTCAGTATATGTAAACTGTCTTTCACAGTATATCAGTTTGAAGATGCTCAACTCACTAAATATCAATTTACAATACCCTTTCTCTTGATTATCACGTCAGTCTTTAGGATTTTAAAATAATTAGAGTTGACGCAATCTCATCAAGCAATAGCTTTACGGAGAATGGAATCTACTATATTAGTATAAATGCCTAAATGATGGTGTTAACTGAAACAGTAAATTTAATTTATATCACAGTTTATCAAGCAGACAATAAATTATCAGACGCCTAGTACCGAATTTCTGGGATGCATCGAATAACATTCTTCATCGAAATAAAGTTGAATCAACTGCAATAGGTCAGTGATCAACAAAATCTGTGTACAGATAGAATCACATCGACTGACTTTTGTCAGCTTACATCTTTTATGTTACCTACGTTATATCCAACTGCTCATTAAGGGTCGATTGTACTGAGAAGCAATTTGCTATGTTCTACTTTATAACTATTAAACAGCCACTGAAGGAACAAAGCATGACAAAGCTTCACGTGTTCTATCACTTCGTACTATAGACAGTGGGTCGTGGTGTTATGACAGTAATCTAGGCGTACTGTTTAAGGTGGATGGGAAACGTTAGTTGATAAGATTGTTGATCTTCATCAACTCAGATGTTTGCCACGTCACATATTGTTATCTGAGATCGTTTCGAGTTGGAAAAATGTTATAGGCAGTCAGACTAAAGCATAACATCAGTTTATGAAGTTTTTGACTGTTGATTTGGATCATGTAGGGGAAATATAAACTTCCCAGTTAAGGTATGCTCGAAGACCAAGATTATTGGTTACAGACTTTAGGTGATATGGTTGATAACTGATCTGAGTAGCGCAAATACTTCAACACAATACTTTCATTTTATCGTCGTAATGAGTTGTTGCATTTGAACCTGTTACAAAGTAATGTCAAGCTTCTTTGGTGATGGTGAATGAATTTGATCTTACATCAACTAGTGATTATCACCAAGCAATAGCTTTATGAAGAATGAAATCTACAAACAACTATATTAGTATAAATACCTAAATGGTGGTTTTCACTATAACAATAAATTTAATTTATATCACAGTTTACCAAGTAGACAAGAAGTTATCAAATACCTGGTTGCGAGTTTCTGGGATGCATCGAATAACATTCTTCATCGGAATTATTCTGCATCATTTCTTTTCATTAGTGTAATTTTATAAATAAAATTATTGTTCATATTTCATTTAAATGCAAGTGTATTTAATATGTTATTCACGTTATTCAGTAAACAGTGATAGTCTAAATAAAACTAACTGATTAATTTTGAGTTACTAATGCTACATACAGTTCAATAAGTAATATATCAATGTTGCAGTGTATACCTTGTCTTCCTGTGTGATGCAACATACTGTTTTAATCACGAATTCTTTCAATATCACTATATTACCTTTAAATGGTGAAACATAACTATATGTCGCGTACTGTTTCAGATGTGGTTTATTGTTCTTATTCATACCAGGTAACATCATAACTTTGTGAAGTAGTGTAGGTAGTTTTGGTAATCTCTTTTTCATTGGGATGAAAGTGTTAAACTTTACAATATAACTGAAACAACTGCTGAGTCATTCCTTTTACTTATTATTATTATTTGTCCTTGGATTCCCAGTGGAACATAGGGATTCACCAGCACGCCTCCATTACACTCACTTCTCTACAGTCTTTCCAACCTCGATCCACAAATAACCACTAACTCTCATTCCTTCCTCACACAACCTCCTTCATGTCACCTTCACCTCAGACGCCCAACTCGTCCTTTACCCTTACAATCCCACTCGACGGCGTCACCTACAGCCTCATGTCCCCAATCCGCCTTCCCACTGTATGTCCAATCCATCTCCACCTCCTTCCACCACATATTCGAGGGGCGATAGGTTTCTGGTTAGGTGTGTTGCCAATCAGCTAGAATTCCTCAATGCTTATTCCCATCATTCTGGTCATCTGATCGAACAGTATCTTCAGTATCGAGACAGTGTAGGGTGCAGCTGTTGATGCATGTCTGTAGTTTGTTGGAAATGCTTTTCGTGATGCGCCAAGTTTCGGAACCATATACATAGAAGCACTGACTTGACTGAATTGGTGTTGAGAATCCGGATCTCGTTCACGCCTCATGCTGAGTGCAGTAGATCTCCACACTGATTTCAGATAGTGCAAGCTTGTCTTTCTGTCTTTTCGATCTTGGGTGCTTCGACATCCTCGTCTGTGCTTGTGTTGCCTGTAGTTGAAACGATGCTGCCTTGTCTGGGTAGGTGTAGGTGAAGGAGACAACTTGTTTTAGGTTTCTCCGGTTAATGTTGATTGTGCCTGTCGTTGTTGATGCTGTTGTTGGTTGAGTATCTTCATCACCTCCGTCTTCTTTACATACATTTGAAGCACGTTTTCGCTGCCTCTTCTCATTCCTTTCACATTCATTTAGTAATGATTCGATGGACAATGAATCCTTCATTATTCTCTTTGTACACTGAACTAAGTTAGATTTCATAATGAGGCCTTTTCCTACTCTGTTTTGTCGATGTACAGTAGCGTATTTAGCTGTTACCAATCTTTTCTCAGAATTTTTCATCTTACTTGATTCTATTAATCTTGATATAATCAAGTTTCTTTAGTTAGACAGCCTGAATGAGTCTAGTTGAGTTCTTTGACCTCATTATCATTGGAAGTGATTCAGTAAGCTGAATACTTCGACTAGCTTGGCAAATAGAATTTTCTAGTTTACAAAGACTGTTTAAATATGAAATAGTAGATTTGAATATCACTCTAATCCTAGCCCTTATATGTAGTCCTATTAACGCTTTGGAAGTGTCTTCTTTGCATAATATACAGTACAAGTGTTGAATTCTCTCCATATTCCTGTGCACATTGTTACCTCCACTATTATTATTATTATTAATGCCGTTATTGAAGAAGTATTAGTTCTACTAATATCTAGGTTACTACTAGTGCTCACTTTTCTCTAACGCTTTCTTATAAACTGAAAGGAAATTTAGATCTAGCATAGTGTTTATATTTTACTCCTATATTCATGTTAACGCTTTTTTTTCAGCGATTCCGTTAAAAACTTATAATCTCATGTCTTTATAATCAACAATATTGGAACGTGAATCTTGAGAGATAAAACTGATGGCTATTATAATCTAAAGACGAAATGAATTTATTTTAGATAATCTTTTCTTTTAGGGAAGGTGACATTTATTAAGTTTTTCCAAATTTTTAATAATAATAAATAAATGAATTCCACTGAATACCTATTAAAATATATAAAGTATTTATCCTTACGTTGATACGCCTGTTGCCTCTCTTTAAAGCATTTTTTAACCGTAGATAAGTTACCGATGGTCACGTCTAGTCAAAGTGAAACCGACAAAGGCAGACTAGAGTGTCTGAATGTAAACAAAACTGTGTAAAAGAATATATATATATATATATATATATATATGTGCAAAATTACTGATTCATTAGTGAAGGTGAATGCTCACTACTCGATTGAATTTTTGCAAGTTATACAACCTTAGATAATTTTGAACAAATTATCTGTATAGCGAAGACAATCAAAGAATAGATTAACAAAATTTACTAAAACATACTGAAATTTCTTTCTTCCCTCTGGATAATATCTAGAAAGTCTGAAATATTTATTTTTGAAAAACATATTGAACAGAATAACTGAACAGTAAAATTATTGATCATTAGAATATAGAAGCTGATTACAATTTTTCCAATTTGTCCAAGACCATGTACGACCGGAACAGGATGGCTTCATGATGAACAAATCATGTACGAATCAAATTGCAAGACTACTCATCATCATAGAACAGAGCATAGAATGACAGTCAACTCTCTATCTCAACTTCTTCAACTTTGAAAAGGCCTTCGACAGCCTCAACCTACAAGTAATTTGGCAACTACTTCAACACCATGGCTTTAGCGCCACAAACCTCTATGAACCACATTCAAAAGCTACATGGCAACGCCACATATCAGGTGGTTCATAATGGAAAGGTTAGTGACGCCTCTGAAATGAAGATAGGAGAAGAACAAGGTTACCGACTACTATCACCGATCATCCTAATTGTGGTCAACTGGACTGGACTGGATCATGCAAGAAACTGTAAGGAGCTGTGAGAAGATATGCATATACCGGGTGGACCAATGAAAAGACCACAAAAGAAGGTTTGTATTGTATTTGAAGAGGCGAGGTAGCAAAGATAAGACCTCCTTCAGGTGAACGTAGAGAAGACAGAGGTGATGAAGATACTCAACCAACAACAGCATCAACAACGACAGGCACCAATCAACATTAACCGGAGAAACCTAAAACAAGTTGTCTCCTTCACCTACACCTACCCAGACAAGGCAGCATCGTTTCAACTACAGGCAACACAAGCACAGACGAGGATGTCGAAGCACCCAAGATCGAAAAGACAGAAAGACAAGCTTGCACTTATCTGAAATCAGTGTGGAGATCTACTGCACTCAGCATGAGGCGTGAACGAGATCCGGATTCTCAACACCAATTCAGTCAAGTCAGTGCTTCTATGTATATGGTTCCGAAACTTGGCGCATCACGAAAAGCATTTCCAACAAACTACAGACATGCATCAACAGCTGCACCCTACACTGTCTCGATACTGAAGATACTGTTTCGATCAGATGACCAGAATGATGGGAATAAGCATTGAGGAATTCTGGCTGATTGGCAACACACTAACCAGAAACCTATCGCCCCTCGAATATGTGGTGGAAGGAGGTGGAGATGGATTGGGCATACATTGGGAAGGCGGATTGGGGACATGAGGCTGTAGGTGATGCCGTCGAGTGGGATTGTAAGGGGAAAGGACGAGTTGGGCGTCTGAGGTGAATGTGACATGAAGGAGGTTGTGTGAGGAAGGAATGAGAGTTAGTGGTTATTTGTGGATCGAGGTTGGAAAGACTGTAGAGAAGTGAGTGTAATGGAGGCGTGCTGGTGAATCCCTATGTTCCACTAGGAACTCTAAGGAAAAATAATTATAATAATTAGTGAGGCAAGAAACTGTTTGTCGTGTTATACCTGTGATTTATTCAGGTGAATTGTTTCTGTGAATATCAACTCTGCTGCCAGTTTTATGCTTTTACAATCTTGATTACGAAAAACTTTAAATTGTTAGGAAACCTCTTTCAATATTAACTGAGTCATTTAAGGAAGCTGCTGTCTACTCGACATTTTGAATGATACTGTCTTACTACGTTGTTCTGTTTATATTCTGCAACTGAATCATATCTTCATTGATTACTTAATTCATTCGTTTAAGTAAATATATGTTCACAGTCTCATTGTGCATGAAATTATCACCAATTCATCAATCAAATTAAATCTGTTGTAATTTAGCGGGTAAGTGTGTAAAGTATCAGCTTCATTTTCTGTGGACAGTACAACAAACAATTATGTATAATACAATATGTATACACTTTTAACCATTATCAAACTTTAGATGCTCATTAAAGAGAATCAGCTTACATTCTCATAGATAAATATGTCTAACTTTTACTTCCCATTTCGTTTTTATAAGAAAAAAGTTTCAAGTCTACTTATTTCATATTAAATTATTTCAAGTTGTTATTCGTCGAAGACTGACATCAGTTGGAGGAACAAAGGAAACCTGGGAGCACTGGACAGCTGTTTCGTCCTAGTATGGGACTCCTCAGCAGTGCGCACCCAAGACCCCACCATCAGGGATCGAACCCGCGACCTTCAGGTTCCGCGACCAGCAGGTTACCATTCAGCCACTCGGTCACAATCCAATGCTCCATATTTCCAACTTCTCTCAGCTCACGATATAGCGCAGACCGCCACCCAATGTCATCGTTGAGTATTTGTCCTCACGGCCATCAGGCTTTGACTCCACCGGTCACGACTTGTCATTGAAACTTCGGGAATACTTCTCGAAGCTAGTCACCAACGAGCACTAGTTCAATTAAATTTTGAGGGGTTGTGGAGATTTGCAATTATTTCAAGTTGTTATTCATCGAACATTTATGAACATTTATGAAATCTATGTCAAAATAAAGATTTATAAAAAGTACAAACCTTGCATAAGTTGATATCCGATTTCACCTTCACAGTTTTGTTTTTTACACTTGACATCTAAAATTATCAGTTTATGTGATTTTTATTTATTTATTTATCATCCACTTACATTTATCGATAGATTCCTTTTGAAGTGCTAATTTACCATTAATTTTTCCTGAAAAATAAAATTTATCATTAAGCTTCATTTGATCTAGCTTCAATTGAATAGTTAATTGTTACTATTTTACATAAACGTCTATACATTTTGAGTAGAAAGGAATTTGACTTGCTATATATGATGATTGTAATTGTGAGAAAATCTCTTGATAAGATTTACTCTGTTTATGCCTCTTAGTGCTATTCCATATTCATTAAACATGAAAAGCTTATGCAACTAATCAGCCTACTAGATAACTTATTGGAGTCTAAAGGAATTGATGGCAGGTTCTAGATGTACTGACAGCATCACTCATAGGTGATCAGATACGTCCTACTGATATGTCGTTATTAAATGATGAGAAGGTGTCACAGATTTCATTGTTATCTACGAAATATCAGTATTATGAGAGGGTTAGAAATTTCCTGTCTCATAATGTTAGAAATTGCATATACAATAGAAATGGCAGATCTGTTGTCGATACAAGGAGAATAAACTTAAATCATCCTTTGAAATATAAGACAATGTGAACTAATTTTTATATGATTAAAACTATACAGTCACGAAAAATAATTGAAACACCAGCGATAAATGCTGTGATAATTATTACAAATACTGTTTTTATGCACTACTTCAACACCCTCTAATTCTGACATAATCATAACCTGAGCTGTACAATCCCATGACATTTGTCCAAGATATTCTGTTATTTCAGCCCTTGTATATGAGTCTGAAAAATCAATTGAATAGCTGCTTATTCACTGAATTCCACCACTAGGGAATAACCATTTCTGAGTTATTTCATATTATGTTACCTGTTTCAAACATTAATAAAGACAGACAAAGGCTTATACAAGTAGGAACTAGTTAAGAAGCAAATTCATATAGTTATGATGAAAAGTCTTCTCCTAAGTGTTAAAGCAAGGGATCCTATAAGCATTCAGATATTGAGTCACTGGGCAAACTAGTGTTTATCAGGTTATCAAGTGGAAGAGAACATCTAATGACAAAGTGTAATCAATGATTGGAGGTTGTATTCAGTAATTATAACTTAATTAATCGTGACTAATAAAAGAATCCATCACACGTATTTCGTCCTACTTGGGACTCGTCAGTTTGACGTACTTGCACCCCAGGCGGTAATATTGTTCCCAATGAGACTCGAATACCGTATATATCACTTCAAACATCAAAGAGTTATCTTTTTTAGATAGAAGTCCATATGCTAACACAAATCTTTCTGCTTGATCCAGTAGGGCAATGGAGAATCACATGTATATCAAAAAATAGTAATAGTGTATTCAGAAAGCTTTTCTCTGCGTTGAAACGTGAGGCAATGTACAACATATAGTGTTCCATAATACTGACAAAATTACTTAAACGTTCTTCTTATTTCATTTTAAACTGGGCTTATCAATGTTTTTGGACTTGTCAAAGGAAGAAAAGAGATATAGGCAGTTGCTCTGAAAAACCTTTGGCTCAAATCATCAGTCCATTTTCTAATCATTGATTATGGAACCATTATTATTCATTTCGATTTTTCTTTGCTTCGGTTCTCAGAAGCCATTGCAATTAAGGAGTTAAAAGCTAAGCTTTATATTCAGAAAGATCTAGCAGGTAGCCTACGACTACATTGTCTAGAGAATTGGACATATTTTGAATTTTCTCTTTCCTTTCTTTGTCACTTCTGGCTTGGTATTAATAACAGCTAGCTAATATCTACTGGGATGTATCATTTTGTAGTTTAATACCATGCCGATGTTTACATTCCTGATAACATTTTCGCATGATTTTTAGTCTAATCACTAAAGAATTATGAACGTAATTTCCACTTGACCAAATCAAGACGTGGTACTAGTAGTTGAAGTCCCTGATTATTAGTCTGAGAGATATAAGGAGGTTCGTATTATCTGGCTGAGGTCTGCGAAACAATGGGAATCAATGATTGAGTATTCTTGATGACATGGCTGAAAATAGGTCACAATGGTGCAGATGTATTTACCTCTTGACATCTTCTAAAGCTTTAATATTTGGTCCAACCATTTTCTTGAAATTTCTTTTTCTGTGACACAAATATATCTACTTTGATTTCATTTTATTTCTATATACTTATTCGTTGTATATTACAGTGAAGTGTAGCAACAAGAACCGTTGGACTTATGAGTGAGATTCTATGCTGATTTTGTCTCTCTAACTATTTTGTTTCAACTCTATACTTCAATTTTTCCGATCCCTTTCTATTAGATCATAATGGATTTTACATTTTGAATTATGTTGATCTTTGTTCGTTCCATTATTTAAGCATTACTTACCTGTTATCAACTAAGGAGTAGACACTAAAATGAAACGTTTACTGAAGAATTTGTTCTTAGTGCTCTATTCAAATTTGTGATGGGAAATAAAAATATATCGATAGAAAGAAAGTATTCATAGATTACTTATTTGTCCACGTAGTTGCTGTTCTGTATTCACTATATCTTTGCGAACTGTTTCTCGTCTTTCTAAAATATAATCACAATAAAATCATGAGTAAAAAATAATTTCATTGCTTTTACCTACAAATTTTGCAAACATTAATCATTGTAAAATACAATTTATGCAAATGACAATCTAAATTAACTAATGTAAATTAGTTATTGATCTTAATTGTTGAGGAGGAGCGAGAAGAGGGGGATACACTGGACTGCGGAAAAGAACCTAGAAGATCTGGATTTCGCCGATGACTTGTGTCTAATGTCACACAAACTTGATGATCTACAGGCGAAAACTAACAAACTGACAGAAGAGGCAGGGCAGCGAAGACGGGACCTCAAGTGAACGTAGGGAAGACAGAGGTGATGAAGATACCCAACCAACAACACCACCAACAACAACAAGCTCCAATCACCATGAACGCGAGAAACTTTAAGGAAGTAACTTCCTTCACCTATCTAGGCAGCACTGTTTCAACTACAGGCGACACAGGCGAGGACGTCAAAGTTAGGATCGGAAAGACAGCAAGAAAGGCGTTCATTAGCCTGAAAGCAGTGTGAAGATCTGCACCCGGCATAAAGCGTGAACAAGATCCGGATTCTCAACACCAGTGTCGAATCACTGCTTCCATATGGTTCAGAGACTTGGTGCGTCACGAAAGGCATTTCCAACAAACTAAAGACATTCATCAACAACTGCATACGCTGGCTCGTTACTGAAGATCAGATGTCCAGAATGATGGGAATAAGCAACAAGGAACTCTGGTAACGAATCAACAGACGAAGAACCTATCGCTCAACAAATATGTAGAAGGAAGTGGAGATGGATTGGGCATGCACTAAGAAGGCCGACTGGGGAAATCACGCGTCAGGCCAGTTGCTCGAGTGGAACCCCCATGGGAAGCGACGAGTTGGGTAACTGTGGCGAGTGTGACATTGAGGAGATCGTGTAAGAGAGCAGTCGTGGAGCCAGGTTCGAAAGATTTCAGAGAACATAGTGTGAAGTGGCAAAGTGCTGCTGAGGTCCTTTGTTTCAATAGGAGACCAAGGGACAAGTAATAATAATAAATTGTTGAAAGTGGTTAGTACTGGAATCCAGGATGGCAAGTTCCAACTAAGATAAAACTCACATCCTGACTTCCACTGATAATCACTATCTGCGGTCAACACCAAAACTGAAAATATTAGCAATATTAGGGCTTCCATATAGGAGCCTGTATGCGAACACATCAAAAATAAGATATCTGTTTTTTACTAAAGATGAAGACAACTGAGGACTTGGATGATCCAGTTCGCGCAACTGTCACTAAACAACTTATGCTTATACATACTACACAATTGAATATTCAATATCTATTCTTCCCAGGGTTTACTTTAATAAATGTGTTAACTAAAAACGAGGACTTATTTGGTTGTGGCCAACGGAGGAGTCCATAACGGGCGTTTCGTTTTATTTGGGACTTGTCGGCTGGATGTACCTACACCCCAGTGAATGATGTACCTCCCACTGAGACTCGGACCTCGTACCCACCACTTCAAATGTCAAGACGTTATCCACTATATCATGGAGGCACGATAGACACTTCTTGTACAACTGGCAGCAGTTGTCACCATTTGTTGATATACCTGTAACCCTCCGTTGTTCTGTTGAATCGAATTGTCGCACCTCTAGCCGTTGTACAAGAGGTGGCTATCGTTTCTCTATAACATAGTGTATAACGCCTTGACGTTTGGAGCGATGGGTTCGAGGTTGGAGTCTCAGTGGGGAAAACATAACTTCGCACTGGGGCGCAGGTACATCCAGTTGACGGGTTCCAAATGGGATGAAAAGCATGTCTTGGATCCCTCTGCTAGCCACAACCAACTAAATTATCATAATTAACATTTAGGCAATATCGAGGCATCTGTATAGGAGCCAGTATGCCAATTGAGATGGAACAATTCGATCCAATAAAACAACGGAGAATTACAAGTGTATCAATAAATAGTGTAAATGAAAATGTTGGGAGTCTCAACTTGGAATATTTTAAAAGATTATCCTTGTTACAAAAAAGTAAAATATAAATAACTATTTTGAGTTTACCTTTATTTGTTGCAATCTTTTTATTTAACCAGGTGATTTTGGACTGTATACTCTCCAAATCTGATAAAATACCAAACTGTGGTTTAATTGTATGCAATTTCATAAGTAGGCAAATCTAAAATATTCAAGATATCTGATTCAGGTTCGATGACCAGCAAGTTATCATTTAGCCGTTTAGTCGGAATCTAATGGTTCATATTTCCAACTTCTGTCGGCTCACGACATAGTGTGACAGTCACCTATTGGCTCAAGTGTAACGTGGTGGCCACAGAACGTTAACGTCTAGGGTTCGATCACTGGCGGTATCATGGGTGCGCATTATTGAAGAGTCCTATTTCTGATTTAGCCTACTAGCTAGCCATTTAAGCACTTTAATATTAAGAATTTTTCTATACATTCCCACATAAGTTTTATGAAAACGTTAAATCAATATAGTAGTACATCCAGATGCTAACCGGGAAGTTATGTGTTGGCCTAAACACCAAAATGATCCTAGTTCTGATTTCATCTTTGATCAAAAACATCAGTTTGTCAAAGCACAGTTATCTCAAGCTGTCATATTAATTACCATAGTAAGACGTTCTTATTCCTTTATTTTCACAGGTTCTTTTACTAAAACTGAGATTAAATCAAATTGCAGTCCTTCTACATCTTGGATTTCGCTGTCGACTCGAGATCCTATCCTTATATTAATATATTTCTAAAGGTAAGGTATCAGATCTACAGTTTCTCTTCCATATGTGATTTATAATAGTCGTATTATTTACTGATTGCCAAAGGTAGGGGGCTGATGATGTTAGGTTATACACATATGACTTATTAATACGCTTGATAATCAAATAGTATCATCATGAAAAGTTGATGAGAAAATCTTGTAAGTTCACAAGGGAATGCATATTCTAACTTTTAACCGTTTCATTACTTGGTCTTTATCAAAATGTAATTCTACTACACTGTATTAGTTTGTATCATTTACAGTAAGTATATTTCTATTTTGTGAATCCATTCACACATATTTCATGCTTGATAGCATATAAAAACGTTGAAAATTTAATAAAGTCGCTTAGATAAATGACAGACACTTTTATTCCATGTATTATCATCGACTTCTTTGACTAGAGATTGAAAGTAATTAGATTTCAAACTATTCTGTAGACAAGAGTGTACTACTTGCTACAACCGACATTACTTTTCTTTCTTTGATCAATGTTATGTTATAAAGTAAAAATAATAGTAATATTCAGGGAGAAATACAAAGTTTATCTTACCGTTTTGTTTTGTCTTTTGAATATAAAGAAGAAGAATAATAACTGTCTGAAGTAGTATTGTATAGTTCATTTTGCAAATAGAACTTCCTTTAGTTTCATTATATATATATATATATATATATATATATATATATATATATATATATTCTCAGGAGTCCATAGTATTTTGATCAAGTATTGGTTGGTAAATTCTGTGTGTTACCTGATCTCATATCATTAACTGGAAGAATAGTTTAACTAAGACATGATAAAATGTTAACCAACTAAAACGTTTGTTTTAACCAATTGTATGAATTTGACTATAGAAAAAACTGGTTATGATTCTTGATCAGTATTTTTCAGGTGGTTGAAACTAAAATAAAATACAAGTTGTTTTAAAAGATCAATAAAATCTATTGTGTAGCATGACTGTATGTCAGTGATAATTACAAGTTAAATTTTAAAGAAAAGGCATACACTACTACTGATTAATTTGAGTAGTTAGAAAGCACTCAGGCTGATCTGTAGATTCTACCAGTCAAATTTGAGTGATTCAAGCACTGGAAAGAAATTTTGCTGGTTTAAAGCTGAGCTATTCAGCAGTGTGCTGTAATAAATTCATCTCAAAGATCCGAAGATAGGAAGACCAAATCTCCTGTCATTCACATGCAGATCATCTATATATACTAGAGGCTGTAGCTATGCGGTCAACTAAACCTAAACTTAGTATACAAAAAGAACTCGTTTAAGGTCCACTCCTCTATTGCCTTTTAGCTGACTAAATGATATTCTATCATTCTCATGCTTCTTTTCTGTATGTTTTTTCTCTCTTCTTCCGTTTCTCATTTCTAAAGCGTAATTTTAACCAAGTTTTTTTATTGTTTTTCTCCTCTTATTCTCATGAACCTTTGATATTCTATCGACATTTTTGCCCAGTTCATTTATTATTCACATTATTTGCCATATACCCCTAATTTTGCATAGCTTTTGGCTGCTTTTTGCGCATGATCTTAAAATAATCTACATGGCTGTTTTCACTAGTTTTCTTCCCTCTGCTCACAAGGCTTAACTCTCATTGGTTAAATATATGTGGGTTTAGTGTTGCCAAGGTCATTAAAAAACGTAAATATTGAGCATCGCTGTCGAATGTATTTGTTGTTGTTGAGTCAGTAAAAATCCTTCCGTCAACAATCTGTCTTCTGTTCTTGTATTCGTGCGTCGGTGGCATTGTTGTGGTGGTGGTTGACGTTCTGATTTGCGCTAGAGTCTATTCGCTTGCGCGATAGGTTCGTATCGTTCCCAGTCTGCTAGGCTCCTATCGCTCGTTGGCCATTAGGTCATTATTCATCTTATTTATTTGTCCCTTGGGTTCCTAGTGGAACATAAGGCTTCAATAGAATGTTGCCACTCCACTCTCTTCTCCGAAGTCTTTTAAACCTGGTTCAACGACTGCCCACAACCTTTCATTTCTTCCTCACATGATCTTCTGCATGTCACCCTTGGACGCAAAACTCCTCGTTTCCCCTTTGAAGTCCACTCGAGACTCTGTTACGTGATGTCTCTGAATGGTTTTCTCAGTGTATGCCCAATCCATTTCCACTTTCTTCTGAACGTTTGTTAGGCGATAGGTTCTTGGCCAGATTTCCTTGTAGGTTATTCTTATTATTTCTAGCCATCTGATCTTCAGTGTCAGTATCGAGTGAGCGTACGTAGCAGGTGTTGATGGCATATGTCTGTAGTTTGTTGGAAATGCTGTCTTTCCGATCCTGGCTTTGACGCCCTCATCTGTGACTGTGCTGCCTATAGTTGAAACGATGCTGCCTAGGCAGGTAGGTGAAAGAGGCTACTTCCTTTTGGTTTCTCCCATTCATGTCGATTGCTGCTTGTTGTTGTTGTTTCCGTCGTTGGTTGGGTATTTTCATTACCCCTGTCTTCCCTACATTCACCTGAAGGAGGTTTCATCTTCGCTGCATCGCCTCTTCTGACAACTTGTTGGTTTTCGTCTGTAGATCGTAGAGTTTGTCAGACACTAGACACAAATCATCATCGGTGAAATCAAAATCTTCGTCTGTGGTCTTTTCATCACTCAAGCCAGCGTATGCCCATCTTCTCGCTCCTCACAGTTCCTGGCATGATCCAGTCGAGTTGACTACAATCAGGAAGATGGTCAGTGATAGTAGGCGGTTACCTTGTCATAATCCTGTCTTCACTTCAAAGGTATCACTGAGCTTTCCATTGTGAATCACTTGGCATGTAGCATCATATAGCAAATAGCTGCTGTTGAATGAGGTTGATGGAGGTTTGTGGCACTAAAACCGTAGTGTTGAATCAGCTACCAAATAACTTGTGGGTCGATGTTGTCGATGGCGTTTTCCAAATCGATGAAGTTGAGGCAGAGTGTTGACTGCCAATCTGTGCTGTGATCTATTGTTGTGACCACGTGGGGTTGCGGGCGTGGGTATAACGATACTGAGACCCATGCAAAATCATGATATCTGATAATGACTTCAAAACAACTCTCTTGTTGGCTGCCTTTTGTCGCTACGTATCATCTCTAGTGATGCGTAGCGTTGCAATTTGATCCGTACATGATTTTTACTCCTTGAAGCCAGCCACCCTGTTCCGGTGGTAATTTTGAAGCCAGCCTATTGTTTAGTCTCTCCAGGATGATGCGTCTTAATATTTTACTTGCTTGAAGTGAACAGGGGTTGAGAATGATTCCCCCCCAGTTGTTGCAAAGACTTAGGTCTCCCTTCTTTTGGAGTTTATAAGGTAGCCCTTCTTCTAATCAGTCAAAGGGCAGTGATGTGAGCATGTCCGCTGTTGTCTCCGTGTCTGTTTTCAGTGCTTCTGGCGGAATTCTATCCGGCCCTGCTGCTTTCCTGGATTTGAGCAGCTTCATGGCATTCAGGACTTCATTTCTGCTTTTGTCAGAGGGCTTGTGTTTGCTGTTGGTTTTGTGGCTGGCCTGCGGGTGGCATTTCTGAAAGACTTCCAGGTGGTAGTGGTCAATCCAAGAGATTTTTGAAGTGGTCAGTTCATTGTTTCGTTTGTTTCTCTTATTTGGTAACTAGGTTTCCTTCACTTTCTTCAATGGTTTCATCTCCGTTGATCTCTCCCCCTACAGACAGTAACCTGGTTACTAGAATCAATGTCAAGTCTCTCCTACCACCAGTCTGTTCTGCTTCAATAGCAAGTGTGTTGTAGAATTGTCTTTTGTCGTTCCGCGCACTCCTCTTCACTTCTTTATCCAGTGTAGTGTTTTATAGGTTGTACTCAGTTCCTATTTTCGTTGTTCATCCCTGTATTGCACTGCACTGTTTCATCATCTGCTTCATTATCCTCTTGGCCCTCCCTGATCAGCTTCCATCTGTCTGTGGAGATCCATTCCTTGTCTTTCTTCTTCTCCCATCCTAACAAAATTATGCAGGTGTCGTTCCACATCTCTTTCAAAGCCTTCCAGCGTTCTTCCACACAGGTTTCCACGGAATAGGGATGTTGCTTAATGTCTCCCATTTTGTCCTGATAACGGACCTGAAGATGTCCTTTGTAGTTTGGCCCTTCAGTTCAGTCTCTGTTCTGGGTGTTGAATTTGAACTGTGGCTTTCAACTTGATTTTGAAGGCAGGTTCCTTCCACTAGATAATGAGTGGTGTAAACCTACATCTGCTCCCCTTCTTGATCTGATCTTGTGTCCAGTAGGCTTCATTTTCACTTTCTTGAGATTCAGATGAAGTGGATCTGATTTTAAGTGTCTCTGGTGTCTGGTGAGATCCATGTCGCTTTGTAAATATCCTTGTGTTTGTACACACTGTCTCCAATCACCAATTGGGGTCTTGTCTAGTACTGATTGCAGTTGTCTGTAGAATTCCTCCTTCTACTCTTGATCTGCATTATTTGTAGGTGCCTAGCTTGGCATTGTATAATTGTGACTTCCTTTCCTTGTGAGTTGAATCTTGCTGTCATGATCCTGATCGTGGAGGAGATTGGCTCCCATTGCATGAGGGAGATCCTTCGATGCTCTTGGGGGCATAATGACAGCGACTCTAGA